CTTAGGATGATGTTTCTAATGATACCCTATAAATTCATATCCGTAATATCTTTCAAAAGTTATGGTGCAATAAAAAACATACACATACATACATTAATTATAAAAACAATAGACTCCTTTCGAGAGCAGTCGTGTTAAAATATTCGGGAATCGATAATGAATCTCACCATAGAAATACTAAAATAAATACAAAAATTGGGAAAAGTATCAAAATAGCTTGAACGTGATTTCCACAATACTGTGGACTCGTGACCTTGAACAAGTTGTCGAGAACTCGGAACGCTTCAAAATACCTAATCTCACAGAGTGAAAATTTGTCTGCTTAGTAATTATTGAGTTTTCAATAATAAGTTGTAATTCTCCATTAGCAATTTCGGCTCGATTGACCTGATTCATCTATATCACTTAAGCATTTTTTCCAGAACCATAGTAAGTAGCAAGCCGAGACGTTTTTTCTAAAGCGTCATGTATTTCACTTGTTAAAATAGTTATTAATCTGCAAAGATATTCTAAATTTAGATAAAAAATCACTTATCATTATTTATAAAAATGAACTTCATTAGATTAAAAACAAAGAATTTATAAATTTATTTGTAAAAAGAAAAACTTTAGAATTCATTTCCCAAAAGTGCCATTGTAGCGTATTAGCAATTTTGCCTTTCCACTGTCGATATAATGTTAAATATATTTAAAAGCCATTAAACAAAATTTAAATACTAAATACATACTATTATAAATTAAAATTGGCTTTTAATTGGTTATCCAATCACAAATTAGAGCACAATTTACTTTGTTACAGTGAATTCTAATCACACAAAAGATTTTTAAAAATATGAAAATGAATATTAATATGCAATAAAATGATACATAATTATTATATTTTAATACAAAATAATTAAAAAAAAAACATATTTTAGTTAGCTTACAATACGCTTAAATCATAGACAAGAATTCTTAAAAAAAAAAAAAACAGCCGATATTATTTCACAATATATTTTCTAGCATTTCTTTATTATAAATATACAAACAAATCATAATCAGTGTATTTCTAAAAGAATAGCACAGATAATATTTGAAGATTAGATTATGGCACAAATAAGTTTATGATATTTATGAAGAATATGATCTGTGGTTCTGTCTACACAACACTAATAACCGATTTGCGACTAAATTATGAACATCTCATATTTTTATACAACAATTATGGCATGGTAAATAAACATTACTTAACAAGTGCAAAAAAACTATAACTTCAAGAACAAATCAAACATTTAACTGACATAGTAATATTTAAAATTTCCTAGCAAGTATAGAGATATAGGATTAATTTTTAATGAAGGCAATTCTTATGTAATAATAACATTAAAAGTTTAATACTTAGACTATCAGTATCTAGTATAAATTATGTATATTTTATTTTTCAAAATGTCCAGTTTAGATTCTCAAACTAAAAAGGTTTTACACGGTTAATTAATATTGTATGAAACCAACAAAATAATTGAAAAGATATGAAGATAATGCATTTTATATATTTTAGGCATTGTGTTTCAAAGTATTAACTGCTTACTACTAACATACAATATCTTATAGTTTCAGACTTTTCTATACTTACCATTCTTGTTACATTGTGTATATCCCTTTGAGGAAGGTATTATAAAAAGTGGACTTGTTAAGTAATAAATACATTACTTGTATAATAAGTATTTTACTATTATATCTATTTAATAAAATCCTTATTATGTACTCAATGTTGTTTGTCTTCCTACATTCTTCCAAAATGCATTGAACACACCCTGGCATGCTTTGAAGGCTTACAATTTGGTCTTCCGCAAGCTTCAATCCAATTTTGAAGTTCAGTTTCATTTATCAATCAATTTTGAAGTTCATGTTCATGTGATGAAAATCTAAAATATAAACACAATTACTAAAACACTTTTATTTTAATTTCATATTTTAATTTGGAAAATTGAAGTCATTATTATGATAATGATTTGATTATCATATGGAATAACAATATTTTATGAAGAAAAAACACATTTGGCTGAGATTTATTGATAAAATTAGTTACATTATCTAGTATAAACTCAAACATTTCCAACCAAATACATGGCACAATTTTTAGTGATTCTAAATACACAAATGATATTCAATTAAATCTAGAAGATGTAATTTAACATTACATTACAGTAAATTAAGCGGTATTTTAAAATAATCATGCAAAACTTTACTGAGAGTCCTCTCCAAGATAAATCCAAGTTTGTAACCTAAAATATTAATTTTAGGTTACAAACTTGGATTTATTTTAATCAAAAGTTTAAAAATTGCGCGATTGTTTTTTTAAATCGCATTTGGTAGTTCTATGACTTTATTTAGAAAATAGTTGAGTTTCAAACATTTTGATATTTGTTTAACAGAATATTGATAATTTAATTTTAAAGCACTTTGAGGGGAGATTTTAAGCACTTAGATGTCAGCCTTAATGATTTGAGGTTATATTCTTATTCGACTTATTTAATACTATTTTTAGCTTGTTTTGTGTCGTATTTAATAAAATTCACATCGGTTATGCCAATGAGAAATTTTACCTTACGAAGAAATAAACAAAATGCTTCTAACTTACCTGAAATATGATACACCTACAATATTTCTTTCGGATCTATTTTTGCAAGATATAACACTGCACTTAACTGCAAGTAACTTAATTTGCAAGTAACGTTTCTTAATTATAAACTCTATACATCATATAAAATATTGTTTAAATACACTTCTTTCCAACTTTTTTCTATATTATTTGAGTCCAACAATATCTATGCCTAAAATTTTGACGTTTTGGTGTTCATATCATATCATATTAATATTCTTCTTAACTAACTTAACAGTAGTGATATAGTAGTATGTACAGTCCAATCATGTTTATTAACTAACTTGAGTATTATTATTATTATTCCTAGCTATATGTACAATCTTATTTTACTTGATAATCCTAAATGTTTATACGATGATACTTGATTACAATGGTTGGGTATAATTATGTATGTACAGTTGATTGATGATTTCTGGTTGGTTGAGTTGAGTAATGTCAAATAAAAATCTTGATTAGTTATTGCTATTGATTGGATATTACTTTGTTACATACAGTGCTTAGTTGCCATTATCTGAATGGCATGTGTGTATATGTGTGTACAATTGGTTAACTGGGGTTCAGTAGTTGTTGTTAGTTGAGTGCTCCCCCACACTCATACCTACAACGAACAACCTTTTCGGCCTATAGCAGTGGCCCTTTCCCCCGATACTGGCAGCATTTATCATGTCATTGCCTTTAACCATCTTAACAATAATACTATAGTAGTGTATTTTAATCATATATTGTTTGTTAATTTGAATATTAAACCGAACTATATGTACAATCCTATCATAATTAATACTACTAATAATAATAATAGTCTTAACTATATATACGATCCTATCATTCCTACAATGCTAATAATCATAATAATCCTAACTATATATACAATCCTAATATTTACAGTAATCATGACAGTCCTATCATTCCTAACATTAACAACAGTCATACAATCCTAACGTTCCTAATAATATTAGCAATCATACCAGGATTGGTATCATTCTCAACAATCCTACCGATCCTATCGTTCTTAACAATCCTAACAGTCAGTCTCATCATCTAACAATACTAACAAACATACCAATCTTATCGTTCTAACCATACTAACAATCTTAACAAACCTATCATACCTGGCAATCCTAACATACTTAACAAGCCTAACACTCCTATTCAAAACCGTCTTGCCTAGGAAGCCGTACGGAGCGCACGCATCCATCTGCTGCTCCATCCCAATAATCACATTTTCAAAAATTTTATAAGTTTCTTATCCAAACAATAGCTCTCAACAGTTACAGCCAATAGTTTTCAACAGTATTTACCCTTTTTTCGCCAACGAAGTTGAAATTTTTCGCGTAGTTCGGAGTTGTTAGGATCGTCATCATCCTAACAACGAGTAAAGAAAGTGGCTTACGGGAGTGAAATACCGGCGTCGCCCAGTGTAAATAATCCAAAATTGACTAAGTGTTCGGCGTGACCCGCCGAAAAACCGAAATTTTTGCCAATTTAAACAATATTACGAACATTTGTTAGGATCGGCGACATCCTAACATTGTGTGAAAAGTGACTTTTCGGGAGTGAAATCGATGCCATCCGGTGTATTTAATGTAGATGGCTTAATGCTTGTTACCTACCTGAAAAAGCAAACTTTTTAGTGACTCTACAAACATTTGTTAGGATCGTCGGGATCCTAACATTAAGTGAAAAGTGACTCCTAGGGAGTAAGTATCTGTGCCATCCAGTGTAGTTAACGTATATCTGGTTTTGGGCCAGCAATTCACCCGGAAATTTAAAATTATCAGTGACTTTATAAACATTTGTTAGGATTGTTAGGATTATTGGCATCCTAACACAGTGGGAAAAGTGACTCTACGGGAACAAAATCGATACCATTCAGTGCGCTCAACCTAGATCTGGCTTAGGGCTAGTTATTCACCCGAAAAACCAAAATTGTTAGTGACTTTATAAACATTTGTTAGGATTGTTAGGATTATTGGCATCCTAACACCGCGGGAAAAGTGACTTTATGGGTACAGAATATCGATACCGTTCAGTGTGTTCAACCTAGATCTGGATTAGGGTCAGTTATCCACCCGAAAAACTAAAATTGTTAGTGACTTTATAAACACTTGTTAGGATTGTTAGGATCATTGACATCCTAACACTGCGGGAAAAGTGACTTTACGGGTACAGAATATTGATACCATTCAGTGTGTTCAACCTAGATCTGGTTTAGGACTAGTTATTCACCCGAAAAACTAAAATTACTTGTGACTTTATAAACATTTGTTAGGATTGTTAGGATTATCGGCATCCTAACACCGCGGGAAAAGTGACCTTAAGGGAACAGAATATAGAAACCATTCACTGCACGAGTCTCATGACCATCGCTGCTGTCGACGAGCGCCTAACATTGCATCCCGAAGAACACAGAACCTCCAAAGATCACCGGCGCACACGTCATAGTAGCCATCAGCACAAACGGGAGCACAGACGACAGCATTCGAAAAGGAAATCGAACGCTAAACCGGGATTGAAATTGAAATCCTCCCGCACCACTCCACCCAAACTAGACGCCGACGCGGGGAACAAAATGGAAACGATAGCAGCCAACACCACAACTGCTGCAGCAGTCCTATCAGTCCCCACCACCACGGCTACTGTCACCATGGCCACCATCCCCCCCGCTGCAAACGCTGCGACAACATCCAGCTCCGTCATTGACACCAACACCACCACTGCAGCATACACGGGTTCTGCCTATGACCCCACTGCAACATCTTCGGTACCACCCACCATTGGGCAGCCATCGTCATCGCCTTGCCCTGCTCAAACGCTCCAATCGCTCCAGCCACTATTATTCCCGGACTTCAGAGCAATTTTGGCAGCGAGGGGCCTAGGATCGACACCCAACACTATTACCGGCGGTTTTCCCGCCTTTCCTGCCCCTGCCCCCGCTTTCACTCCCGCCTCTGCAGCTACCATGCAGGTACTCCCGAACAGGACCTCTGGAACTCGGGCGGTGGCTTCCATCTCTCCAAGAATCAGAGATGTCAGCTCGCCGGAGCAACGCGGACATTCAGGGACTCGACACACCAACGCCCAATTCTCGGATCTTCCTTCTCTCCGTGACCCGCATCAACAGAGGCAGCGCACAATATACCCATCCGTCACAAAAAGGTGCAGGAAATTCAGTAACAACGAAGGGATTCTCCCCTACACCACAAGCAAGGGCAAGAGCAAATTAAACATGAGACAATGCACTCTCTGCGGAGCCATCCTGTCACACCCGGTGAGCAGGCATTACAAGAAGACCCACCCTAACTATGTCTTCGATAACAAGCACCAGTATTTCCCCAAGCCCTACTACTACTACACGGAAAAGGCCAGGGAAAGGTGTCCGAAAGAGCTGCAACCACCTAAGGAACTGGAAGACTCCGTCATCGGGTACTCCTCGGAATTTGTAGGATACCACTGAAAACAATCTGCACACCCACTCACAATCTGAAAACCCGGACTATACCACTAAACACTTCAACACAACACACCACAACAAAACACATCACAGCACACACGCACATACAAACAACAAACTCGCACCCTTGCACACACACACACACATGCACACACCCAACGTACACACACAGTAGAACATACACACAAGCACTTACACACACACACTAACACACTTACACACTCACACTTACACACCTCTACTCTAAATTAACACTAAATCTAATATTAACATACTCACCGAACATAATACAGCAATCCTCTCACAGTGCAGCGGGGGTGATCCGGCGGACTTCTGTAGCCCCTGAGAGATTGTCTTTACTCCCTGAGACCCTCATTTGACAATCGGGATAAGTAATCCCACACGCACCGGACATGACATTTAGATTCCTGCTCCCCCAGGGAAAGGGAATGGGCACGGGTGCGGGTGGGAGGGATGCTGGAGACCTCTGAGGGGGGAATTTACCAATTGATTATTGCAGAGCAGGCCGTCCCGCCCGCTATCCTACCGCCCCGTAGATTCACTCGGAAGACCCCTTCAGGGAATCAGCCCTCTCTTTTGGAGGGCCTTAAAGACGCCGCCCCGCTTCAAGGAGAAGGGCGCAGCCATACAAATCGTGCCCCCGGCACCATGAGTATCATTGTATATATGTAATTTCCCTTTTTCCTTTTCTCTTTTGTTTGTATAATTCGTCATAATTTTAGTTTAATAATAATCAGCATAAGAAGAATAAAACTAACTAAACTGAGGTAAACAATAATTCATATATAAATATTGTATAAATAAATAAATAAAGCAATCAGCTTTACACTTGTGGGTCTTAACCCGAATCAATCAATGTATATGTAAATATAGTTCAATAAGATAAGAAACAACAATTATACAATCATCAAACAAGTAGTTAAGTTCATTTTATATGTAAAAAAAAATAAATCTTTTATTTTGTTTTTATCTTGTTTTTCTTTGCTCTGTTTTGTTTAATCAATCAATAAATTATTGAATCAATGACTCACCTAGCATTAAACTTATATTGTACATTGTTATCACTAATTAATCAATAGATAGTGCTCAGCACACAAACATTAATTATAAAATATATATCTTTGTGTTCCATTGGCAAGTTTCATTAACCAATTAACCAATCATCTAGCACAGGGGTCGGCAACCTTTTGAGTGAAAAGAGCCAAAAGTTACAATTTACAACATTTTTTAGTTTTTAAAGAGCCACAAAATGTTTTTATGCCTACAATAAATAAGTAATGTAGTGCTACTCTCACTGACATCGACTTACTGCGCAGGACTTTGCTTATTGTGACCAACTAGGTTTCGCATTCTTAGAGTTCACTCTCTCTTCCTTCCACTCTCTATATCCAATGGGACGGTTGACCGACACGACCGGTGAGAGATCAGGCGCAGGACCGACGGCTTAACGTGCCGCCCCGATGCACGGAATCAACTACTTTCGGTCAATCAAGGTGATTCAATCACAATAAATAGTACTTGCATAAATAAAGTAATTTTAATCTGTTTATTTATAAGACAAAATAATATTTATTCATTCATATATGAGTAGTTTTTTTTCAAAAAAAATTAAACATATTTATGGTATTAATAATTATTTAAAATTCAAGTAAAAAAAATAAAACAATTAAACATTTAGTTACAAAGTTACAACACTAATTTGTACTTCAATAGCCTCGTCCAGACTGAGCGCGCACCTTTAGGCGAGGCCCGCCTTGCGCCGAACCGCTCGGTCGGTGTGGTGACTGTGGACTGCCTCGGGCGAGGCGGACGCTTGCTATGCCTCGGATCAACGTGCCCGCAGCAGTTCACACTTACCGAGCGGGGCGGCGGCGCATGCCGCGCGAGGCTGCGAGCTCAGTCTGGCGGCAGCAACAATCATAATGATGAGCAAGGAAATTCAATCGGCTTTGCCTGGATATTTAAAAATAAAATTTAAACTTTAACATAACATATATCTGAGCAAACAAACTCAATAGGAACTTTGGCTTTGCATAGTTATTTAAGTAAAAAAAATAAACATTACTAAACAACAACAGTGATGGACGACGGCGCGCATCGCGGGCGCGGTCGAGGGGTGCCGTGAAAAGCGGGTACAAGCAAAGACTATGTGGCTGAGAGATAGAAGTGGTGCTGAATCTTTGTTAATCGATTCAGAAAGTTTTTAAATGTTTTTTTTATAAAATAAATAATATTTGTGTTCAGAACTAAAGAGCCGCAGTTTCCCCTCCAAAGAGCCGCATGTAGCTCGCGAGCCGCAGGTTGCCGACCCCTGATCTAGCATAGTAGTAATCAATCCCGCAGATATATGAAAATGTATAAAATAAATAATAGTGTTAAGTAAACTAACTAACTCCTTCTCTGCCAGTCTAATCATTAATGTAATAATAGCATTTGTTATAATTCATTGCGACTCAGTAATACAGGGGGTTTGCAATACACCTCATCAATAGATGCAATGTAAATATGGTACCAATAAATTTCACTTACTTAATTAAACTCAGCTATAATGTAATGTAACATTAATCCCTCCCGGATGGCTGGGCCAGTGCATCCATCTCCACTGCTGTAAGGAAGGAATTTAGGATAAAATACTCATTATGTTATTCCATTCCAGTTGGGACACTTCTGGGATGGATCCCCCCCCCGGCCGACCCTCCACCCTCGGGTGCCTCTCACCCTGTAGGCTGAGGTGGGGGGTCGGACGGGGGGGTCCCCCCTCACCAGCTGCACCCATCCCGCGAATTATAAGAAATGCATGAGAGCTATATGTGGTAAAGGTCCATTTCATACATGTAAACCACTGTTTCAAAAATTGGGTGTATTAACCCTGCCCAGAATGTACATTTTAGAAATGTTTAAATTTGTAAAGCAACACCCCGATTTATTTAAAAGAGCCAAAGACATGTACCCTAGAAACACTAGAGATAGTGACAGACTTGTTTTGGAATACAAACCAAAGACTTCATTAAGTCAAAAAAGTTGTTATTGCATGTGCGTCAAGGTTTATAATAAGATTCCTGGACAATATAAGAATGGATCTGAGAGCTTAATGACAAAAAGACTGCGAGAATGGCTCGTGAAAAAAAAAATAAAAAAAAAGATAAGCAAATGTTATTATAATATATTATAATAACATTTGCTTATCTTTTTTTTTATAGATTAACAATCGAGAATTTGACATCAGGGGAGCACCCGGTTTGATAAATTTAATAAAAACGTTAAAATATGTGTTAACTCATATTTACAGAATTTTAGAACCTTCGTTGATATTTCTTCATATCCGCAAGAATTTGAGTTATTCAAAGACTGTATAATGTTGAGAAGTTCCCCTTCCGTTACCGGCTCCAGAAACATCGATTTAGAGTTGTGATCAACAATGTACAGTGTTTACTGTTTTTTATCGCTATCATATTTGTAACTATCACCAGCTAAAGTAATGTAATAATCATTGAATATCTCCGCCATTTCCTTACCATCAAGAATGAGATTACCATTATGCTTTATACCACAACATTATTTATTATTAGTCTCTATATATTTGTTAACAAATGTTAGAATAACAAATTACACTAAAGTCATTAATTAAAGTAGGAACAGAAGAAAAATAAAAAATGAGAATTGCGCACTCTTATACACCCGGGTGTATAAGAGTACGCATTGAGTCGTACAAGAGTGCGCACATTAATTTTCAATACATAAGTCGCACTTATATAGTCCTTGGCCTAAATAGGCTGTGCAGTTTTCGTGCCACCATTGTTGGCACACCGAACATTCTATCCAATCTTCCGTGATGGGCTCTTTATATATTTCTTGACACCCACCGCACCTCCATATCTTTTTTTTTGGTGTAGTTTTGGGAATTTTAAACTGTTTTGAGTGAGTACTTTTTGTATCCAGTTTTAGCTTCGGTTTTTTTTGAAGTGCTATTTTATGAAGTTTTTCTATTTCTTCCTTGTATGGTGAGCTACTAATTATTTCAGATTTTTTCCGTTTTTTATTAATAGTAGTTTTTCTTTCGGCAGCCTTGGGATTGGGACAAATTTTTTCCACTGCTTTTGCAGCATTAGAAGTAGAACTAGTAAGTTCTCTGTCCGTTACAGAACTTGCAAAAAAATCGGCTTCCGAAAAAACATCGGGATTGTAAGGCTCAATACCAGTTACTTTGAAACATTGTGCTGCACATGATAATGTTGCAGCTTTTAAGTACGCTGGTGTAAAAATTTGTACCATTTGGAATACAGTGATTGCTCTGCCAGGATGGTTACGTAACCATTTTTCACATTCATTGGCATAGTACTTTTTTAGGACAGTGTGAAAGCCACAGTCAAGGGGCTGCATTTTATGACTGGCATGTGGCGGCACAGTTAGTGCAATAATATGGTTTTGACGGTAATAGTTTATGGCACTGATAGTCGTATGGGATACATGGTTATCTAGAATAAGAAGAACTGGATCTTCGCTAGTAGGTTTGGTGTGATCCTTAAAATGTGTCAACCAATCTAGAAAAAGATCGGCATTAATGAAACTAGAATCTGATACGATTCCAATTGACCCCATAGGTGCGCCGTCCAAAAGCTCAGCTTTCATCCTTTTTCTGGCAAATATGAAAGCGGGTGGTATAAAAATGCCCGTCGGGCTCATAGCATTAACAGCAGTCACATTAACACCCCTTTCTGCACTAGATATTTTACTCACTGATCGTTTGCCTTTGGTGCTCAAAACTTTTGGGGGTTTATTGGGCACAGTGGTAATACCGGTTTCATCCATATTAAAAATTCTGTGTGGTGGGAAATTGTATTTATCTTTTAAAGCTGTTAAATTAATATAAAATCTCTCCACTTGTGTCTGGTTGAAACCCATAGCTCTAGCAACACTTGTTGCAGTTGGTTGCCTTAATGATATGTCAGGATGTCTCTTTATAAAACACCTCAACCATTCTT